CTGCCCAGATTATCCCTGGCCAAGCTCAAGCTCCTATATAATACCATGTAAAAAACCCATTTAGTGTCAGTTTCTGCCGCAGATGGCCCTGATCTGATCACTCACTAATGCAGTGTGAAAACACTCCGGCTTCCCGCAGATCAAGAGCAAGAGGTTACACACTGCTCAGAAGACAAGAAACATGCTATAATCAGCAGGGTTTGTTTGTTTGTCTCATCCAGACAAGCATGCTGCTGCTCCTCATGGCATGAAACACAAACATGCATGCTGTCAGTTTTGCTTTACAGTATTTCAGGGCTAGAAAGAGCTGTTGTGTAAGCTGTCCACAAACTGTCTGATCAGTAGTGCGTGTGGAGGCCAGAGTTAATGAGATTTACGTATTAAGATTAAATAGAAAAAGGACAAACAAAAACAATGTCTGTGGTTATTGCACACACACACACACACACACACACACACACACACACACAAACAAAAGACATTTTCCATTTGTTCACACTACTTCAACTCTTAATCAGCGTCCCTATTTTTGAATATTTTCTGGAAAACGATGAGCCTACGCAAAAATGTGCAGTCAGGTTTATAAATATTGGGACAGACACAATTTTAACAATTTTGGCTCTATACACCAACACAATGGATTACAAACAGACTGTCAGCTTTAATTTGAGGGTTTATGCATCCAAATCATGTGAACGGCGTAGGAATTACAACAGTTTGCATATGTGCCTCTCACTTGTTAAGGGTCCAAAATCCAGGGATAACTTTCTTTTCAGCTGTTCCATGGCCAGGAAGTGTCCTATTCCCTCATTGTCCCAATTAAATGAGGGTGTTTACATACAAATCATGTGACCGGTGAAGGAATTACAACAGTTTGCATATGTGCTTCTCGCTTGTTAAGGGTCCAAAATCCAGGGATAACTTTCTTTTCAGCTGTTCCATGGCCAGGAAGTGTCCTATTCCCTCATTGTCCCAATTACAATGAACAGATAAAAGGTTCAGTTTATTTCAAGTGTGCTATTTGCATTTAGAATCTGTTACTGTCAACTCTCAAGATGAGATCCAAAGAGTTGCGACTATCAGTCAAACAAGCCATCATTAGGCTGAAAAAACAAAACAAATACACCAGAGAGATAGCAAAACATTAGGAGTGGCCATTAGGAGTAAACATTAGGAGTGGCCAAAACGACTGTTTGGAACATTCTTAAAAAGAAGGAACGCACCAGTGCGCTCAGCAACACCAAAAGACCCTGAAATCCATGGAAACAACTGTGGTGGATGACCAAATAATTCTTTCCCTGCTGAAGAAAACACCCTACATAACAATTGGCCAGATCAAGAACACTCTCCAGGAGATGTATGTGTGTCAGAGTCAACATTCAAGAGAAGACTACACCAGAGTGAATACAGAGGGTTGACCACAAGATGTAAACCATTGGTGAGCCTCAAAAGCAGGAAGGCCAGATTAGAGTTCTAAAAAAGCCTTCACAGTGCTGGAACAACATTCTATGGACAGATGAGATCAAGATCAATTTGTACTACATTGTTGGGAAGACAACATAAAGGGGAAGGAAAAGAACTGCTTATGATCCCAAGCAGTGAAGCATGTTAGTAGTAGTGACGTGGTGTGGGCATTTACAGCTGTCAAAGAAACTGGTTATCTTGTATTTATTGATGATATGACTGCTGACAAAAGCAACAGTATGATTTCTGAAGTTTTTTAGGTCTTAATATCTGCTCATATTCAGCCAAATGCTTAAGAACTCACTTGACGGCATTTAACAGAGCAGATGGAGAATGACCCAAAGCATACTGCAAAAGCAACCAAATAGTTTTTGAAGAAAAAATAAGTGGAATGTTATGCAATGGCCAAGTCAATCACCTGATCTGAATCTGATTGAGCATGCATTTATCTTGCTGAAGACAAAACTGAAGGGAAAATGCACCAAAGACAAGTAGGAACTGAAGACAGTTGCAGTAGAGGTCTGGCAGCGCCTGGTGACATCTATGCATTCCAGACTACAGGCTGTAATTGACTGAAAAGGATTTGCAACCAAGTATTAAAAAGTGAAAGTTTAATTAATGATTATTATTCTGTCCATTTACTTTGGCCCCTTAACAAGTGGGAGGTGGATATGCAAACTATTGTAATCCCTACACCGTTCACCTGATTTGGATGTAAATGCCCTCAAATTAAAGCTGACAATCTGCAGCTAAAGCACATCTTGTTGTTGTTCGTTTCATTTCCAATCCATTGTGTTGGTGTATAGACCAAATGTGTTCGAATTGTGTCAATATCCCAATGTTTAAAGACCTGACTGTATGTAGCTTTTGAACCCTAAGGTCTGTTTTCACAAATGTTGTCTTGTTTGAATCAAGACACTTGAATGCTTGTTACTTAAGAATTAAAAGACCCAAAAGTTCTTTAGTGATATACTGTAGTAAAATATGTTTAAATATACAAAAACATAACTGGCGAATTTGTTTAATAAATTTCACTTAAAAATATTTAGGTCAATGGACTGGTAATGGTTTTAAAAGACCAGAAATATAAAGATGCATGTATGCCCATGATGTGATTCAAATTTGAGGATGATGCTCCCAAAAATGTAATTTCGGTAAGCATTTAATTTTTTTTATTTATTTATTTTTTTTTGTGACAACTTATTTCCTTGTCCAATCGATTTTGTGGAACCCAGCTTTTTTAACAGTGTACACTTGGTTATGATTACTAGAATGATTGTATATTGATAGGTTTCTTCAATATATCCATTTTTGTGCTGAACTCAAACTGGTTTGGAAAAGGTTAAGGTTGAGTTAATGATGACAGAACTATTATATTTGGGTGAACTAACCCTTGAAGAACCCAGTTCGACTTGTTTTTCACAGATAAACAATCTACATGTAAGCCAAACAAGCAGATTATGATTGAAAATATAAGTATTGTATTTAAATTCAGCACTTTTTACAATAATTATCATTTCAAAGCTGCTTTAAAGGTGCACATTCCCAGCAAATATGGGTCCAATAGCAATGTCACGATGGCCAAAATTGGTCTTCTTATATGGACGGCATAAATGGGTAAAATTATGTAACAAAACATTTAATAACAAATGCATTAATATACATTTGCACATTTACCTACTGTTTTTTGGGTTGCATTTATAATTGTTATTTTAAATTTTTGCAACGTGTAGTTCAATTTACTAATACATTTCTATTTTAATTTTAAAACAAATTATTTGAAATTAAGAATTTAAGTGATGTTCTCTAGAGAATTTTAGTCATGATATGTTCCTGGTAAAATAAAGACTATAACAATAAAATCAATATTAATCATCTTTAAAATTAACAATTTAATTTAAATGAAATTTTCTAGAACTTGTCCTGCCATTTGTTTTCTGTATGTGCCTATCTGTTTTTATATTTTACATTTTATATTTATGGTTGTAAAGCACTTTAATTTGCATGTTGTTTTCTACATGTTGAATGTCGAAAAAGTGCTATACAAATTAAAATCATTATTATTATGCAATAATATTATTAATATTAGTAGTAGTAGTAGTATGCATTATGCAAATACATTATTATTATTATTATTATTATTATTATTATTTATATTATTATTATGCATTCATATTATTATTATTATTATTAATATTCATATTCATATTTTCATAGTCATTGTATTTTTTATGTAAATTCATTATTATTAATAATATTGTTTTGTATTATTGTAATTATCATAATCATACATTTTATGCAAATGTATCATTATCATTATTATTATTATTAGTAGTAGTAGTAGTAGTAGTAGTAGTAGTAGTAGTAGTATTAGTATTATTAAAATTAATGTTGTACATTTTATGTTAGTTCATTGTGATTTTTTAAATTATTATTACCATTATGCATTTTTATGCAAACGCAGTATTATTCATATTATTATTACTATTATTATTATTACTGTTATTATTATTAGTATTTTTATTATTATTATTATTATTACTACTACTACTACTACTACTACTACTACAATTTCTGCTATGGCTAAATATTTCTTTGTGTTTTTGGAAACTTTTTTTATTTTAAAGAGTGAATCAACTGATCCTGTGGCAATATTGCAATAGGTGATACTTTGACCATGCTACTGAATAATAATTACCATATTTGTGACCCTGGACCTCAAAACCACTCATAAGTTGCATGGGTATATTTATCGCAATAGCCAAAAACACATTCAAGGGGTCAAAATTATTTATTTTTATATTGTCAAAAAATCCTTGCAATATTAAGTAAAAAACTTTAATGAATTTATTTTGTAAAAATAAAACTTTAATGAATATATTTTGTAAATGTCCTAGAGAAAATATATCAAAACTTAATTTTGATGAGTATGTGCATTGATAAGAACTTAATTTAGACTTATCTAAATGTAATTTAAGTATTTTACATTTTTTTACCCTTAGATTTTAAAAAGTATCCCTCTCAAATCCGTCATGCACTAACAAAAAAAATGCATAAATGGAATCGTTTTGCTTTCATTTGATACATAAATCTCAATTTCCAAAAAAAGTTTCCATTTATGGCTTTTTTGTCTAGCAACACATTTGAATGGCATTTCTGCGTGCCTACATTGTTTTAAAGCATACATGTATGCCAGTCAAACAGTGCTGTATAGCTTTCTTGTGACATTTACCTCACTATATCTTGAAGAAAAAAAGGACATGCAGTCGGTTCCCCGTCACTAGTCTAAATATAGTCCCTGTACATTTGGGGACAACAGTGGGTTTTCAGGACACGCGAGGACAGTGAAGAGGGCGGGGAAATTGAGCAATATTACTTAATGCTTTCGAAAAGATTATTCTGACGAGAACTGCAGCGAGCGAGAGATTATAGAGAAGAGGCGGTGCAGCGGCGCAGTGGAGGCGGTGCGTTCATACACACACACTCATATACACACGTGGTTCAGCCGGGGTGATGGAGCGTCCTCGACTGAACCTGATGGAGCAAAGACACAAATAGGGGCCGCGCGGTTGCAGGAGGAACAGACACGATAGGATTGAACGGCGATAGGAGGCTGTGGGACTTGAACTAAACGAAAACACAACACTGTTTGTGGTTGTTTATATATCATTGCTTTTTTCTGAGGAAAACCTTCGAGTGTTCAACCGGAGAACTGAAGACGTTCTGGACAGAATTACGCGGCGGTTTATAATGGTAACGTGCGTTTGTTTTGGTCATTTTTATACTAAAGTTTACATTCAATATGTTTTATGATGCTCATATATCTGTGTATAGAAGTTTAAAGGTTTGTATCTGACAGCCACTAAAAGTTCAACTACTTGTCTTAAAGTTTAGTTGTTTGTTTTAATATAGAAAGGCTTCATGTTTGATTTGTGCAATATATATATATATATATATATATATATATATATATATATATATATATATATATATATATATATATATATATATATAAAAAAAATAAAAGTGTAGGAATGTTGAAGGCTAGCTTTTTATCCAGTGAAAGCTATCAAAAGATGCATTGAATTGAGGTAAAGTTGGTTTAATATTTGCTCATTCGTTCAGTGATAACTTGTAACATGCTCCCATTATTGTTTACCATAGCACTTTGAATACTGGGTCTGAAATCACATGTAAGATTGACTCCAAAACCACACTAGTTATTTGACTGTAAACAATGTTGTACTCTAATAGTCATTGTCTGCTAATATAATTTTACTATTTAGTGTTTGCAAATAACATTTTTCTGAAATTATATTATAAAAGAGAAAGTCTGAATGTGTGTGTGTATAAAACTAACTTTACCTCAATGGTACAAAATATTTCCTGGACCAACTTGACAACGTAACATTATGCAATACTAGTAGATGTTTTTGCAATACAGCATACTCAGGAAGGTTTGTATCAGATAGCTTACCTTTATATTGATCTTTACAATCAATTTATCACTTTTAATTATGCATTAAAACATTAAAGTTGCATTAATCCTTTGGGAAATGTTTGCTTTTCCCACTTAATTAATAAAGTATCTTTTATATGAATGTTATGCAAAATGTTTAAATGAATGTATAAATGCAAATATAAAAAAATAACTGTTTAATGAATTGATTCAGATGTTTTTGAGTGTCTGTACGCGCAAAAAGTTACCAAAAATCTGATGTAACTGTGTTGAGTAAGCTTGGATTCCATAATGAAAGTGACTCACTGGGACAGGAAGACGATAAAACGCCGCACACACACTCACACAAGCTGTTCCGCAAATAGGTCAACAGATGAATTCAGGAGAGGCTTTCTGTTTTACATGAAGTAGCTGCTTACTGTTGTTAAAAATAGTGCTCTGTGAGATGCAGGCAAAGGGGATAAATGTTTAACTCGACTAGAGGGAATGTTTATTTGGTGATGTCACTTTGCGTAAGATGGCTATATAACCGTGCATTTGTTAACCTGATATCATGTGGTGTGTAGTACGGACGGTCTGTGCTTTGCCACTGGGAGGTAATGAGGTTGCATAACATTGTGTTGTAACTGATCTTACGTAACTAACGGGATATCATTGTGTTCTTTCTGCCACCAGGTGGAGCCACTGCTGCGTCAATAACATCTGAAGCTGACCTGAAAAGCACTCACACAGCACACTGAACATTGAACAAGAAAGTCTCAAGATGTTTGAAGAGTCATCTCAGGAGATGAGGGCGTTAAATGCAGGCACTCCCAGCAGCACGATGTCTTTTACAGATGAAGCAGTGTCTATATTGACATCAAGCAGTTTGCTTGCACGCTCACTTCTAGGCCGAACATCAGCACTTAAACGCAAAGATGTCAGTCCATCAAGCATTTCCTCAGCAAGACGCAAGCGAGAGTTCATTCCCCATGAAAAGAAAGACGACGGCTACTGGGACAAGCGCAAGAAAAACAATGAAGCCGCAAAGCGCTCTCGTGAAAAACGCCGTGTAAATGACATGGTGTTAGAAAACCGTGTCCTAACGTTACTCGAGGAGAACGCTAGACTGCGAGCAGAACTTCTAGCACTGAAATTCCGCTTCGGTCTCATTAAAGACCCCTCAAATGCTTCGATACTTCCGCTTACGACAGGAAGCTGCGTCCCACAACCTTCAGCGCAGCATTACTACCTTCCACGTGGTGACAGCGCTCACCATACTGGCCCAATGCCATCAAATCAATCCCCCACACAAAGTGCACCACCATCCAGCCGAAGCATCAGAGATACCAGCAGCATGTCTGAAGATTCGGGTTTCTCCACGCCCGGTGGCTCCAGTGTGGGCAGTCCTGTATTCTTCGAGGACAGATTAAGCGATCATGGAAAACTGTCCCCACATCGAGCAGATGAGCTCTGCTATGAGTCGCACCACTCCCCATCTGATCTTTTAGCAGTGGGAAATCACAACATGCCATCCACCAGGCTGGAGTCGATGGATGGCATGAAGAGTTTACCGCACAAGCTACGGTTCAAATCTCCGGGTGGTGGCGATTGTGAAAATCTTGGAGAACGGCAAAGTGCTGCAATCCCAATGGCCAATGCTAGAGTTCACAGCTATACGCATGAGGGAGCGGGTTACTGGACACCGCATGATGGGGAAGACGCTCGGAAAGTGATCCAGCAGCAACATGTGAATTACAGCCACAACGTGAACGCAAACGAATCGCAATATCAGGCAGAAAACAGCATGCTGAAATCTCAGCTCAGCTCTCTCAGCGAGGAAGTGGCCCAGCTCAAAAAGCTCTTCTCCGAGCAGCTGCTCACCAAAACGAATTAAGACATTGTAAAGCACTGTTAAAAATATCTCTAAATTAGCACAGTTTTTGTTTTACGTTTATTTACGGTTGTGAATTGCATTGTAGGATGTTGATCTCTGCTTTGTCGAAAATTTAACTCTACAGTTTAACAAAGTGACTTTTAGTGACATTTTAGTAGTTTGTAATAATATAACGGATAAGAAATTAAGGCTGCACAATATATGGTTTCAGCATCGTTATCGCAATGTGAAATCCGCAATAATCACACCGCAGAATCTGCAATGTCAGTTTAAGTTAAATTATACCTTTTATTCATCCATGAGGAAATATGAGTGAGATTATAGTTGACCACAATTAATTATAACCTTTATTTTATCCGGAAAGACACATTGAGATTAAAAAATCTCTTTTACAAGAGCATCCTTGCCAAGATTAGGCAGTATACACATCACATGGGTCTAACAAACAAAAAAACAATTGACAGTAAACATGAATCACACCAACAAACAGACTATTTAACTACAAGCCTGTGCATCACTTTCTAAATCATTTATACTCTTTTTAAAGGCATTTAGTGAAATCAATTCTTTAAACTGCAACTTTGTTTGTAGATTATTCCATGCAGAAGGTGTTGTGTATTAAAAAACCTTTCTTCCCATCTCAGTCCGCACTTTAGGAACAGACAGTAAATATCCTTTAACCGAAGGCCATAGCTGAGGACAGGTTTTTTTACAAATGTAATTCTGGAGATCTGATGGAAGTAAACCCAATATAGCTTTGTAAACAAAGCTATGCCAATGCTTGAGCCTACGAATGGACAAAGCAGACCAAGCTACCCTAGTATACAACACACAATGATGAGTAAGGGGTTGAAAATTAGTTATAAATCTCCATGCACCAATCTATAGCGCATGGACTTTGTGAAGTATAATCCTAAAAGTGTGAATGTTTTTCATTTGCTTTGTTTTTAAGGCCTTTGACTGTAAGATTTCAAGTGTATTTAAACCATTTGTGTAGAAGAAATCATAAAATTGTAATTAAAGATGTTTTCATTTTTAATATACAACAAAGACTATGACATGTTTTCACGTTTGATTATTTAATTTCTGTACCGGAATACAGTTCCAGAAAACTGTAAAATGCAATACGTTTAATTAATGCTAAATATTTGTCCTATGAAATCATCCCAATAAATATAAAACTATCAATTCTTTCCAAATTGAGCTTTATAGATCCTCTGGTGAAAAAATAGTCATATCGCAATATATATATATATTGCAGAAAAACAAAACATTGCAATGTCAGTTTGACCAATATCATGCAGCCCTATAAGAAATAATATATAAAGACATATGTCTGTAAAATAACAGAAAATGAACTGGTAGTTTATTACCAGGTTTTCGTACCATAATATACACCAAACCAGACAAAATATCACTTTTAACTATTAAAAAATGTCAATAAAAGTCACTTTTTCTAACTTTTCAAGGTTAAAAATCAATGCAAGAAAGATCAAGGTGCCATAATGCAATTCAAAAGCATAAATAAACAAGGAAATAAATCACAAAATATGGGAAACTGCTCATTTACTGATGTTTTTACAGTGAGCGTGCACTGGAGCACTGCACTCATTCACAGTCGAACTCATGAACATCCATGAATGGAAAGAAAGCAGCATGTGCGTCACTACCTCTACCACGGTCGGTGTGATTTCATCAAGCAGGACTCGATCTACATCTGTAAACAACATTTCAACCAGCCAATCAGATTTAAGGGAGAACATTTTTATTCAATGATTAATTTTATCTGATTTTGGGAATCATTTAGTTAGGGTTAGGTTATGGATTACATTTATTAAACAGGAATGATGTTCCAGGATCAACATTGATGTTAACTCACACTGTAAAAAAATGTGTTTCCTTATTTTGTGATTCAGTGTTTATTTACAGTTTTGAATTGCATTATGGGACCTTGATCTCCACTTTGTCAACTCTTGATGTTGCAAATTCTACTCTACAGTTTAACAGTGACTTTAATTGACATTTTAGTGGTTTGAAATAATATAAACGTATAGGAAATAATATATAGAGAAATAAGTCTGTACTGGCAGGTTTATACCAAGGTTTTTGCACCATAATATACAAAACCAGACAATATATCACTTTAAACATGTTAATAAAAGTCACTTATTGGAACTTCGCAAGGTTAAAAGTAAATATTGGAAAGATCAAAGTCCCATTACACAATTCAAAACTATAAATATACCGGAGAAAATAAAAGCATGCATCACAAAATAAGGAAAACTGCTCATCTACAGTGCAGGATTGCATCCTACTGGGCTGAAATCACATCCTCCGCATCTTCACACTCGGTCATAACCAAACAGACTTTGCATTTCCACCTTATTTTGCAATTCCCTGTGAATATTTGTGACTTTCGACTCATTAGTCACTACAAGTAAAATGACTAGCAGAATATGAAGTGATGAAACTGTAAAACCAGTGTGTAGAGCTAAAATAACTGGAAGCGAATGATACCAGAAGCCTCATACATTCAATTTACAAATGGCTGTACTTGCTCTTAATCTCATAACTTGGGTGGATTTCTATTTTATTTGTCTTTTTTTTTAACCACATCCTTGCAGGAGCATTCAGTGACAACACCTCACCTCAATTCGTTCAGTTGCTCGTTTTTCCTCAAACACTGTGATCTTGTTAACAAAAACAAACGCCTCAGGCTCAGAGCTGTCTATCACTGTAAGTGTAAAACAAAGCAGAACATGCTCCATCATTCCTCTGATACGTGCCAACACAATATCACCACACTCTTTCTCAGTGAATGAGGAGATTCACAATGAGCCTGAAAGTCTTCACACTGTAACGTTGCTCCTGTGGTTAAACCGTGACTCATGAATGATGTGTAAGAAATAGATTTCACAACATCAGCAATCCTGAGTAAAGCAGAACAGGAAATGCCAGTAAAGGGCGAATAAAATGATTATTTTTATCATGAACCGGTAGCAACTCAGCACTGAATGACTGCTTCACATTTTATTTTCCATCCAGATCACTGCCATTGTCCAGACAAGAAGAATATCTAATTGAACTAAACTGTTACTCGCATTTTAATGGTGAATTTTTTTGTTGTCTTGTGACTTCTTGTGTATTTGTACAGTGAAAATACATATGTTTGTGTGAATAAATATTTGAACTGATCATTTGCCTCTCTTGATCTATTATTTATATGCATACATATCTATCCATCCATCCATCCATCCATCCATCCATCCATCCATCCATCTATCTATCTATCTATCTATCTATCTATCTATCTATCTATCTATCTATCTATCTATCTATCTATCTATCTATCTATCTATCAATCAATCAATATAGGCATTTATTTATTTATGTATTTATCATATATATTAAAATTGTTGCAAATTTATTAAAAATAAAAAAAGCTGAAAAACCACATGTACATCAGTATTCACAGCCTTTGCCCAATACTTTGTTGGCAGCAATTACAGCCTCAAGTCTTTTTGAATATGATGCCACAAGCTTGGCACACCCGTCTTTAGGAATTTTTGCCCATTCCTCTTTGCAGTACCTCTCAAGGTCTATCAGGTTGGATGGAAAGCGAGGATGTACAGCAATTTTCTGATCTCTCCAGAGATGTTCAATAGGATTTAGGTCTGGGCTCTGGCTGGGCCATTGAATAACATTCACTGAGTTGTTCTGAAGCCACTCCATTGATATTTTGGCAGCATGCTTTAGGTCATTGTATTGTGGAAAATGAACTGTCACCCCAGTCTGAGGTCAAAAGCACTCTGAAGCAGGTTTTCATTCAGGATGTCTCTGTACACTGCTGCATTCATCTTTCCCTCTATCCTGACTAGTCTTGCAGTTCCTGCTGCTGAAAAACATCCACGCAGCATGATGCTGCCACCACCATGCTTCACTGTAGGGACGGCATTAGCCTGGTGATGAGCGCTGCCTGGTTTTCTCCAAACATAACGCCTAGCATTCACTCCAAAAAGTTCAGTTTTATTCTCATTAGACCAGAGAATTTAGTTTCTTATGGTCTGAGAGTCCTTCAGATGCCTTTTAGCAAATTCCAGGTGGGGAGTGGCTTCCGTCTGGCTACTCCACCATACAGGCCTGATTGGTGGATTGCTGTAAAGATGGTTGTCCTTCTGTAAGGTTCTCCGCTCTACACAGAGGAACGCTGGAGCTCAGACAGAGTGACCATCGGGTTATTAATCACCTCCCTGACTAAGGCCCTTCTCCCCCGATCACTCAGCTTAGATGGCCGGCCAGCTCTAGGTGGAGTTCTGGTGGTTCCAAACATCTTCCACTTACGGATGATGGAGGCCACTGTGCTCATAGGAACTTTCAGAGCAGCAGAAAAGTTTTCTGTAACCTTCCCCAGCCTTGAGACAATAAAGTCTCTGAGGTCTACAGACAATACCTTTGTCTACATGTTTGGTTTGTGCTTTGACATGCACTATCAACCTTGGGACCTTATATAGACAGGTGTATGCCTTTTTAAAACAAGTCCAATCAGCTGAATTTAACCACAATTAAACTGCTGAAACATCTCAAGAATGATCAGTGGAAACAGAATGTAACTGAGCTCAATTTAGAGCTTCATGGCAAAGGCTGTGAACACTTCTGTACATGGGATTTTTCCACTTTTTTATTTTCAATACATTTGCAACAATTTCAAGAAATCTTTTTTCATATTTTCATTATGGGGTATTGTGTGTATAGAATTTTGAGGAAATAAATAATTTAATCTATTTTGGAATAAGGCTGTAACAAAAAAGAAATGTGGAAAAATGTTGAGCACTAAACACTTTCCGGATGCACTGTATCTATATCATAAACAGTGTATGTATGTATGTATGTGTATGTATGTATATATGTATGTGTGTATGTATATATGTATGTATGTATGCAAGCATGTATGCATGTATGTATGTGTATGTATGTATGTATGTATGTATGTATGTAGACAAACTACAAAATTTAAACTAAATTATATACAGTACTGTATGTACCATGAGCTCCTAAAACACCACTAAAAATTCCTTGTGTTGCCCTCAGTGGCGGTTCTAGTTAAAATGGCACCCTTCATTTAAATACACCTTGGATTAGGGATTTGACCTTACTGAAAAAATACTTTTTATATGTATATGTATGCAAAGAGCACTGCTTTTCCAGAGAAGAAGCATTTGATTAAAGATTACCAAAACAAATTGTTTTTCCCTTCAATGTGTTAACTTGCATGGATTAATTCTTCACTTTAACACTAACAATGTGAGCTAGCAAAATAAACATTAGCCAAGATTACATATACACCTTTTTTTGTGGGTATTGACCTGGAGATGGAAACTAAACATGAGTTGCGTCTTAGAGGTCATT